AATGTTCAGCAGTTGTGTGATGCAGCTAACCAAGAAATTGATGAAGCAAATACTGTCGTGATTGCGAATTATTTATGCCCGGTTCACATCCTTTGTCACCCTTTTTTCACTTATTTCTCTCGAGCTGTCAGGCATTCTCGAACGTATAATTATTAAGCTCGGCATGTGGTGTGTTGGGTTACAGGGCAATTATGCAGTATCTGGAGGTATCAAGGGAATTGAAGCAGTCGAAGCCAAAGCCAAATCATTCAAGGCCCGTATGACCGTGCGTATAAATAAGAACCAAATCCTCTCTCTCTCTATATACTCTCTTATGAGTCAGTGATTCCGCTACTGCTTTCTCCGTCGTGGCTAAGAGCATGTAATGGTCAGGTCCGATTGGCTGTAGCGGGAGCTTTCCACACAAGTTTTATGGAACCAGCTGTCTCGAGATTAGAGGCTGCACTATCTGCAACTGAGATCAGAACTCCGAGGATTCCAGTGGTCTCCAACGTCGATGCGCATCCTCATTCTGATCCTAACACTATCAAGAAGATACTTGCTCGCCAGGTTAGCTATATAACTCTAGACCCTATTGGCAAAGCCAAAAATACTAGGCAGAAAACCGACACAGAGTCGTGTTCGCGTTTAAATTATAGGTCACTTCTCCGGTACAATGGGAGACAACGGTGAAGACTCTCCTAACCAAAGGAATCAAGAAAAGCTACGAGTTGGGACCCGGAAAGGTATATCTATCTATCTATCTATCTATATATATGTATGTATTCAGTCAGCCCCATGAACCCAACACAGCTAAACTCATAAAAGATGGATAGAATTTGTCGGGTTCATTCTACCACTTGTGTCTCTAAGCTATTATGTTGTTGTGTGCAATTCATGAGCAGCAGGTCATTGCAGGGATCATCAAGAGGATAGACAAAAGCGCCCAAGTCGAAGCCATCAGTGCTTGAAACAGCGAATGCGGGTGTAGGTTCTTTTGATGAGTTACGCGCTGTATATCTCATGCAAACCCAACAACTTCCTGATGTGATCTCGTGGAGAATCAAACCTTCAGTTCTGGATGCTTCATCTCTCAATTTTACTGTGCTGTTTTCCATATTTCTACGGATAATACCTGTCTTAAAACCCAATTGTCTGGACACAGACTTAAATTTTAGAATTTTCTTCACAAATAATAACCGGATACTCAAATTCGGAATTTTTTTAAAACCAAACCTACTTTGGTTAATCAAGAGTTATTCTATAGCTCTCAAGTTCCCTAACCTGCAAGTCCTTGTACAGTTAAAAGGACAAAACTCTCCGGATGGGAACTAAAATGAAGTTCTTTGGACGGAGCAGAACAGTTCAAGAAATGGACAAATGAACGCTATTACATTAAGACATTATTGAAACCCTGTCAGAGCAATTTAACAAATAAATCTCAACTCAGCAGCAGATCTCTGCGTAGAGCTGATGACAGTCTCAGTAATGGATTCTCCCCGAACAGCTTTTTGTGTGTGGACGACGGTCAGGTTGTGTTAGAATCGCCATTGAGATCTTGGAAGAAGGATTTAGCGGCCTCGTAAGTGGACCAGCAGATTGCAGCAGCCGGAGCATGGAAGAGCATTCTTGGAACCCATCCCCTCACAAGCCCTCTGTACCCGTCTTTTTTCACTATCGTCCTCACCACATCGCTTATCGAGCCGCTCTTGAACCGGTCGCACCCGCAAACTCCCTGTACAATGCCACAATGGGTTATACAGTGAAGAATGTTTTTTTTTGCCAGACTTCTGATCTCAATCTAAGGATGGTTTTTGGGTATAACAATAACTCCTAGATTCACTGATCACTATGCCTGAACCATAGCAAAGTCCTGCAGCTTTAAGCTTCGGACAATTAAAACTCAACTGAACATTATTGCTCAATATCATAAAGATTCTATACCTACAGCCAGTAATATTTAGTTCTGAAACATGGCTTCTAGAATCTAGATTCATTCAACACTATGCTAAATTGCTAATAATAATAATGCAAGTCCTCCAACTTTCAGCTTGAAACGCTTAGAGCTCAATGGGGAAACAATAGTTTGATCTGAAATGTAGCTTCAGGGGCAGTGTGCAAGTCCTGGAAATTTAGCTTCAGCCACTACGAGCAACGAGCTCAAACTGCTCAATCAAGAAACGCTACTCGTACTGCTCCATAAGCTAAACGATAGTTCAATCTCCTCCATCTTCCACATCGTAATATCATAATTCAAAGCATACCCTCACCGGTTCAAGCAATACAGACGTGTATAACAACATAAACTAGAACATTTCTTCCAGATTCCTATACTGAAGGACAAATATCTCATTAGACTTCAAGGATCAAACACCTAAAGCCCAATAATGAGACTCTAATCCCCAGTGTTCAGTATGATCAAACTGATGACAGTTTGATCTTTCATCCTCCACCTCATGAATTCATAAAAGAATTGAAGCCCTCAATTTTATGACCTAGTATGAATTCTAGCCCTCAATGTTTCCTTCTAATACCAGGTAGGGGCTCAATAAAGCAATTCAATGTTATATTCAAGAAAGAGCAATCCAAATATGAAGAAACGTCGAATCACCTGACACTGCAGCTGCGTCTTGACCACGTCAAGGGGCGTAGTCACAGCAGCAGCCAAACCGCCTGCGGCTGGTACGCTTTCCGGCGATATCTCCATCAATCCCCTCTTCGCAGCCTCGTACGTGGCGAAGTGCACCGCCGTGAACGGCGCGTTCATCAGAACCGTCGTCCTGTACGACGCGTAAAACGCACCGAAACCTTCTTCCCGCATTACTCTCTTGACGCAGTCCCACACGCCCTTGTACGTCCCATTCCCCATCTGCAGCCTCTGCTTCACCATATCCATGGGCGTGAAAACGGCGTCACTCGACACGGTGGCGAAGACGCCGGAGATCGCGTGTGCGGCGGAGTTGTTGGGATTTCCACCGGAGAAGAACTTCTTCGAGCTCTCGTAGACGGAGAAGTAAACAGCGTGAGCAGGTCCGGCGCCGAGACCCATTGCCCATATGCCGCGGTACAACGCCGACGGTCCCTCCGTTTGGATTATCGACCGGAAAGCCTGTCGGACTCCGACGGGTTTTATAGGGCAGGACCGAAGCGCCTGCATATGGGTCTTGACAGTGTCAACGGGAAACATCGACATGTGTTCGACGGAACCAGCAATCGAACCAGCGATCATGAACTGCCAGAAACGGAGGCCGTCGTGGCCGGAAACGATGACCTCCGGATGAAAATCCGGCGGCTGAGGAACCGGTCGGATATCGGTTTCCGGGAATTTGGCGGAGGCGGGAGCCCCCGTTGTGGGGATATGGCCGTAGATCGAATCGAGAAGCCCTGAACTTCGTATGGAGGGAAAACGACGGCGGAGAACGAATCTGATGAAGAAACTGAGAAATTAGGGTTCCGGAATGCTTGGAAATACGAATCGATGGCCATACAAAATCGGGAATCTCACATTCGAAGCTCCGACCAGAGAAGCTCGGGAGGCGGCGGTTTAATACAACAGGAGAAGGGACTCGTGTCGCGGTTTACATCTTTCCCAATTGTCTGGACACAGACTTAAATTTTAGAATTTTCTTCACAAATAATAACCGGATACTCAAATTCGGAATTTTTTTAAAACCAAACCTACTTTGGTTAATCAAGAGTTATTCTATAGCTCTCAAGTTCCCTAACCTGCAAGTCCTTGTACAGTTAAAAGGACAAATCCCTTCCAACATAGAGTCAAACCCACAAAGCATTCTTGCGGAGCCCTCCCATGGCCGACACAACACTCACAACTGAAAGAAAAAGGAAAGTACGGAGCTTTCGGGTGCATACAGTAAAATTCTCCACTTGTTGTCTCCAATTGTATCGATGGTCCGATGGTGTAGACCGGCCAATGGAGCTTGGGCGTGAAAAAAGGTCAACGGCTTTGGGTTCGGGCTCATACGATGAGGTGAAGAGAAGGTAAGTGATCTTGTCGGTCTTTGGATTCTGATATGGATGATCTCAATATTATCATTTCACCAATTACTTATCTCATCACACAATCACACAATCAACGGAAAAAGTTTCCATCTTTCGATTCAATCTACTATACCCATTTGAATTTTGTGCCCCAAGAATCTTGAACTCGGGGAAAAATCATCATGAACACACACATGGGCCGTCACTAAACGTCAAAGCAAGGCCGTAAAGGGCGTGATGAACTTTTGGAGGCCCACCCACTTTAACAAATAACTCAAAGAAGTGGGAATATTACTCAAATAACCCACTTGATCGCAGCAATTTCAGTGTACACCACCAAAAAAAAAAAAAATTGCGACCTTATTACGACTAATATATAACTAATATACAACTTATTACGACTAATAAACTACTCTTATTTTAGTTGTATATTAGTTATATATTAGTCGTAATAAGGTCGTAAATTTTTTTTTTTTTTCGGTGGTGTACCCTGAAATTGATGCGACCCAAATGGGTTATTAGGGTTAAAACCCCCAAAGAAGTACCCCAATATATGTGAAGTCACATCGACACTCTGTACATATTGAAATCTTGTGCTTAGATATTTTCGTTTGTTGTCCCTTTGAGAGGAACGAACCAACAAAAGCATGTGGTCGGGAAAAAAAAAAGTCAAATATTAATATCTCAAAAAGCGTTTCATGAGAGGGCTGAGATATTTCCATGAGATATTTTTCCCCAATCACTCTCTCTTCACAAACCGGCCCTGCAAAAAAACCGAACCAAACCGTTCAAATCTGTCGGCACCATACATTCGATAAATATTGTAAAACTAAAATTAATGGAATTAGATGGACCTTGAGGCGAGGCCGATTGTCGGCGTTGAGTTTGCGAACTTGGTACCTTATCTTCTTAGAGAAGAGCCTGTTTTGGCGTTTCTCTTTGTACCTAAGAACACTGGCTTCTCTCCTCGTGTTCCTCTCTTCCTCCATCACCGGAACTTCTCCTGCCTATAACCAGTATATGATCGATTAATAAGACAGTCAACGCGCATAATCTGTTATAACAATTTCATATATATAATATCACGATCTGTAAATCAAACTACGAGAGAACTATACTTGTTGTTTTGTAGAAGTAGTATATATACCAATTCTAAGTGATTTTGCGTAAAGACCAATCCATGCATGCAACAACTACTTGTGTAAGAAAAAGAAAAAGGAAACGACACTAACGTAGAAGCCGTGGGTGGGAGCTGATGAAGCGTCAGTCCAGAGATGGGACTGGCGTTCAGACCATGCATCAATCACTTCTTGATAGTTCAGGTTCAGCTTCAGACAGAACTGTTTCTCTTCGTAATCCTGAATCGCACTGTCCCAAGATCCCAAGTTCGAATCTTTCCTCGCTCTTGTTTCTTCCTCTTCTTCTTGTCCTCCTTCTTCTTCGTCTTCTTCCTCTGCTTCTGCTTCAGCCCAGAAGTCCCAGGTGAATCCATGAGAGCAGAGGTCGCCGCCGGAGAAATTGTCCTCGTCGGTGATTCCAAAAATGCCCTCGAGGTCTTCTGTTGCATCGGTGTCTCCGGAGGGGCAGGATCGTAAATTGTCGCCGGAGAGCTCGTTCGAATTGATTAATGTTGAGGCTTCAGAGTCATGTTGTTCTTCTTCCTTTGGTAACCTGTGTGTCTCCATCTCTCTCTCTCTCTCTCTCTCTCTGGTATCATCTGTTTTTTGGGTCTAAATATATAACTATGTTGCGGTCTCCTTGCAACCTATGACGTCATCACACATGCACATATTACACACACACACACACATATATATGTATACATGGAAGTTTGATATCTTACTTTGGTGACCGGTTTGCTCATAAAATTCCACATACAAAAGGAATATTTATTTTATATATCAATAATTGAAATCGAATATTTTTTAATAAATTGGGATTTTTTTTTATGTATGTATATGGTCTATAAATTATTTGTTATATAATAAAATGTAACATATATATGTACCTAAATTAATGATATTGAATGCAAGACTTGCAAGTTCACAAATAAATCAAGACTCGTCTGTGTGTGTGTACAATCTAATATCTATTCATTTAAATTTGTATTTGAAATATCTTTTTTAGATTGAACAAAAAAAAAATACTGCATACATACACGGACCGGAAAGTACATGTAAGAAAGAGGATATGCATGAGTATGATAGAAAAGTGGTCCTACGTGGAATCTTATCCCTAGAGTGATGGGACAATCCGAAGCTGATTGGATATGAGGGCTCCAGCTTGGCAGCCAAATGAGGGCTCCATACATGTGGGACCCACTAATCGCCCTTTTCGCATCCACCAATGGACATTTCACGTTTTGCCGTTCTGTGTCTGTATATGTATGCACTGTGTGTGTATGCATATAAAAGTTTATTTTTATTTCTCATGAAAAATGTGATATTATTTGATAGTATCAGGAAAACGAACCAAATCCCAAGTCATATTCTTTACAATATATATATATATATATAATTAGAAGTTAATACCCATTTGCATTTCTAGGCCCATGGGCCCAAACCAAATCAAACCCAATGGTAACAGACGGCGATATGAGACGGAATCCAATACGTTAGGGTTTCTACTCTCTGTTCTTGCACGGAGCGACTCGAAAATGGTGGAGAGAGGCCATGGCGGACGAGTCAGGTCCTTCTTCTACATCGATCGTTTGCTTCTTCCGCGATCTCTCTGCTATAACTTATTCATCTCCTGAGATTCTCTGTGGGTATATTTGCATGGGCTTTTGCTCGATCTTACGATCCAAGGCATTTGAAGGCACAAATTGAATTGCAATTGGGGATTGCAGTGGTTCGGCCGGTTTAGATAATTGGGGGATTGTTTGCAAAAAATAGGTTAGAGTGGCAGAGAACCGAACCGGTCCAGTCGAACCAAAGGGGAGAACCAACGTGACAAAACTAACCCATTCATTTTCCCAAGACGATCAACAAGTCAAAGGCAGCAGCAGAAAGAGACGTTGGGTTTGCTTCGCTTCAATGGCGATTATGCTTCGGCGAACTTCGACCAGTTGTTCCCTCCTTCTCTGCTACGCCCTCCTCGCGAGCTTCGCTTCATCGTCACCATCATCATCATCATCATCTGGAGTACTTCTTCAGCCCTCTTCTTCTTCGCAGAAAGTCTCTGTGGGTCTGTACTACGAGTCTCTCTGTCCATACTGTGCGAACTTCGTAGTTAACCATCTGGTGAAGCTTTTCGATGAAGATCTCATCTCCATCGTCGATCTCCACCTCTCTCCTTGGGGCAACACCAAGCTCCGCCCCGACAACCTCACTTTCGTCTGCCAGGTCCCTCCCCCTATATTTCAATTCGACAAAATTCATTACGCTATCGAATTCAAGATTAGGTTTTGAATCAATGGTTAGTCATAAATCAGTGAGAATCGCCTCTGAGGCATCTTCATATCGAGTCAATTGAGACCTTCAAAAGGTGTTTGGGTGGTCCTTTATTGAATAACGATGAGATTGTGAAATCGGTTCTTGCCGTGGAGTCAACATTTGTCAAAGTTTTGTTGTATAGATTTCATGAATCTGCTCGGTGTTCATTGCAGCATGGGCCGTACGAATGCTTGTTAGATACCGTAGAAGCTTGTGCAATTGAAGCTTGGCCTAAATTGGTAAGCCTCATTTCTATCTCCGATTTTCCATGTTACAGTGAAAGTTTCACGCTTTCACAACTTCCATCCATCTCGTGAGGAATGTTTGTCTAAAAGGCCTTAACGTTCGATGCAGAGTGACCATTTCCCGTTCATCCACTGCATCGAGAGTTTGGTGCCTGAACGCAAGTATGAAAAGTGGGAGACGTGTTACGAGAAACTTAAGTTGAACTCGAAGCCTATCAACGATTGCCTCAGCAGTGGACATGGGAAAGAGGTCAGCCCCTCCTCTCCTTGTAGTTTGTTCCGAGTTGTTGGCTCAGAGTTTCTTGTGAAAATAAAAAAACAGAACTTCCATTGTCTTGCTGGTTGATTGTTGCCCCTCATGTCGTTTGTTCCTTTCCCTCCTCAAGTGTTGAATCAGTGATCCATATTCCTGGAAATGCCCTTATCCATGGTATGTGACGGTCTCTGCTATGGGCAAAGACTTGAAAAGGTTATTTAGACTGGTTTATAGTGCTACTGCTAACCTTACTTTCACACCGAGAAAAAATAAACCATCAAATGTATTATTTAGAGGGCCTAGAAGAGTTAAAGGCTGGATGCCAACTGCTCTTTGTTATCCAGAGAGCGATGAAATAGCGAGAGAGTCGGAGGAATGCAACCCAAGTCGTAGCCCTCATTTGATCTAATTGCTTGTTTTGGTATTCTTTCAGAAAACATGTTTAGACCGCTATTACGGGCATAAACAGGTGTCTATGGGAATCATATCTTTTTCATGTACATATTCCGGCTTGAATGTATCTTTCTTTTGGTTACAATATCAATATGAACCCACATTATGTAACCCTCCCGCTATCACTGCTTTCAAGCTGGTGGTTTTGTGTTAGTTATCTTATGGGGTTTTGTACATTTCCTGGACTTGATTGCTTTGAAGCTTTAGAATTATTATTCACCAATGGATTTGTTGATGGGCTTTCTTTTGATGCAGCTTGAATTGCAATATGCCGCAGAAACAAACGCTCTTCAGCCGCCCCATAAATATGCCCCGTGGGTAGTCGTGGATGGTCAGCCCCTTTACGAGGTACCTTAGCCGAGTTCCTCCAAGATTGTTTTCTGGCTGTGGCCATCACGATACGATATTCGCTCACTGCTGTACGCATGCCCAAATTCGATATGATTGGTTCGGTGTGGAGTTTCATTTAAAGAATTGGGTCCGGAATTCGGTTGCTACTTGATACCAAAAAAGGGAAATTGATTACATCATCATATTCAGCATTTACGTAATTCATGAATCGAAGGCTTGTTCCTAGTGGGTATCATATCCTGGATTAGTCAGAGATAGGAAAGCTTTGGAAGGAGCTTTAATGGCGTTGTTTGCAGGACTACGAGAACTTCATAAGCTACATCTGCAAGGCTTATAAAGGGAATGCAGTGCCTGGAGCTTGTGCCAAATATTCCAAGAATGCCCCTCACAAGGTTAACCTGAGACGCATCTCTTCTTCGGTTTGCCAGAAGGGAACTCAGATTTCGGACGTGTTCGAGCGAGTCATGTCCGAGTTGAACTCGTGGATCAACAACATCGTCAAGTTCAACATGGCAGGTCTCCTTTAGGTCTGTCTCTCTCTCTGGCTTTAACCTTTTGCCTTTGGGAAAATGCACTTTTATGAAGAAAAACGTATGTCCGTAAAACCGTTGTTGTTTGTATGGGAGGTTCATTATGGCTTTAATAAATATTTTTAGAAAATTCTTCTAGTGACGGATCTATTAGATATGTAATTTTTCTAATATATTAAATCATTGTTGATTATTATTTATGCTATTTTGATAGATGAGAATGAATTTCGCGAAGAAATATATAGTTCATTTTTTATTAAAACGATAACTATTTTATAAACTTTACAACGTTAAATATGACGGATCTTTGAAAATATTTAAGAGTTTGGTGTACCAAGACATTCTCATTTTATTGTTTAGTTGGGATGTTTCGAAACATAACATATGGAAGGTAATATTAAAAAATAAAACTAATTGAGGGTATAATTGTAATATTGATAAAGAAAAAGGGTAAAGAAGAATGAGTCAGCAAATCTACGAATGAGATTGAATTGTCGGCGACTTCTCCTACATTTGGCCCCTCTTTTTCTTCCTCTCATTTGGTCTCTTCACACACACACAGGTGTATATATGTATATATATGAAACACATTTTTATTTTATATTTTCATTACAAAATACTTAAAACAGAAGAATACGAAATTTGTTTTAGTAATTGTAATGGCAGTCAGCCTATACGCAATATGCTGGTGCAATCACATTTTCATATGATAATAGACGAACAATTCACAGTTACAAATCATTATAATATATATCTTTCTAACTGGCCATTTCTTCAATATTATATAACATTTAAGTTTGAGGAGATACATATGAGGAGTACGGATTCATCCAAGCAAAATTGTTATTAACATATGTTCTAATCATAATCCAGTTAAATCGACGGTCCAAATGGCACTCAACAACAAAATGGGATTCACCAGACAATTCAATAACGGTGGTTCTAGAATATCATGATATGCGTATAATTTGTATATAATTAAGCTTTATAGATTCATAAGATATTAAGAATCGTGTTCCATGAGCCAAGCTATGCATGCATGTGACTGTTTTAATGATTTCTGGTGCATTTTATTGTTATATCTATCTACCACACAGATGGATCATGTTCGTGTAAATGTGCGAAAATAAAATAAAATAAAATAGACGGAACGATATAACTTAAGGCGTGAGGACAAAATGTACCACACTTGCAAATGTACGATTATGAACAGTGCTTCCGTGACCCACTCTCCTCCGTTCATTTCAATATTGTTGACCCTAAAATTGTATACTTGTTGTAATATTTATGTATCTCCATATACAGAAAATGGTGATACAAATACATGTATACATATATACACGCATACACACAAATATGTATAGGTGTGTGTATGAACCCAAATAGCCCTCGAATAAGTCCAACAGCCATGGAAAACAGATTATTCGGATATAATTGGATATGGGCATAAATACGATATACATTTAAATGGCTATATAGTTGGGAGGTGAGCAACTGGTGGGTCCATATGTTATATAACGACTTGTTAAAAGATAAATATAATTAATACAGCTAATTAATGACTGTAACCCTTGAATATATATATTAATCAAGATATTGTTATTAAAATAAAAGAGTGGAAACAAGGTTGGCTGCTAGGTCGTCTTTTTCAAAGCCGATGTGGAGGTGATTAGGACCAAAAACAATTTTATATTATAAAAAAATGGAAACGATTAAATCAGCGATCGTGACGAATATCCCTTTTTATGTATTCGCTAATTACGTATTAATAATTTTTTTAAAAAAATTATTTTCAACCATTTGTGTATCGTGCACGAGGGATACGAATTTGTACTATGTCATCAGTTTTATTATAAAAAAAATGTCTCTTTTTCTATTTATATTTATAATAGAATTAAGGATTTTATAATAGAAAAGGTACTATGTGTAATAAATTAGTATGATTATTGTTTATTTATGTACACAAATTCTTGGTCACTATCTATTTTATACGCATACATAGAACATTAAATATGTTTCTGAAATTAGGGTTGTAAAATATTGATTATATATAGTTTTGAGATTATGTAAATTTAAGCAAGAAGCTGATTTTTTTTTTTAAAGCAAAAGTTATTTCATTCCATTTTGTTCTTTGTTCTAAAAGAAAAATTACGTGTGCAACTAACGCAAGCAAACACCTGACAGGGGGAGTAAAAGTGAAAAGACGCACGTGCGAGTATTAACGTACAAGACGCACGTGCGAGTATTAACGTACGTGTCAGTCACAAACTTCCACCACGAGGCATCCTCTTGTCGGTTGGAATTCGTAGAGACCAGAGAGAACATTTTCTCACTGCTGCTGCCCCTCCAACTCTCACTCTCTTTCCTTATATTACAACGTACACGTGCGGGTGATTACGTGTATGTACATATATATATACACACACTGTAGGAAGATACACATATCATTGTGTATACATATATAGGCAAGAGAGGAACGTATTTCCTCCTCCATCCATCCTCCATGATCGCCTTATATTCTCCGATTGTCCTTCCGCTTTCTGGGGAGTTTAGAACACTCAACTTAAAGTTCAAGGGGACGGCTAACACATATCTCCACCGTTCGTGTATATATATATATATATGCATACATTTACAGATATACATATAAGTGTGGCTTGAATTAGAATGATTGAAACAACTCCTCGTAGCTAGTAGTGCTCCTTATTGGAACCATAATAGTGAACGTACGTGTTCTACTTGTGCGGTATTTTCTTTTTCCTTTCTAGTAATTATTCGTAGAATCGAGCTTTGAATGGATTCATGCAATCAATCTAGTTTCCAGCCAAGACAGAGACTCTTAGATTTCATCAGAGTTCACTAAACTAAGCACAAAATCAGACGTTATCACAGGAAAATTTTAGATAGGGTATACAAACCTACAACATTTCTAGGGTACAACCTTGCCGCCGTCTCCGCCGTGTCCGGTCGACGGAGCCACCGTCACGTTAACGGCGGGGGGCG